GACTCAGAACAATTCCATTTGCTGCAGCTATAATCTGATTTGGGGCAAAGCTTTATGGGCTGCATGGTTTTAGGTAAGTGAGACTGGGGATATCAGAGTGTCCTCTGTCTGCACTCCTGTGTTTTTTAATGGATTCCTGTTAATTATCAGGTCTGCTGTCCACACGTCTGCACCACAGTCAATATTAACTTTCAGAGCCGACGTCACAGGAGAGGGTTAAAGCTGATTTAGACCACGAGTGGGGAGAGTTATGAGAAATAAAGTGGGCATCATAACTTTGTCCTGGTACTTTAGTGTGGGACTCACTGTGTCATCTAGAGAGAAACACATTTCCATACATTTGTTAGGAAACAAGCATATATATATATAAAATATACTATATCTATATATATATTTATGTGTTTCCTTTGCTGGCTGTGTGGGCGGAACCATCAATTCATTCAGCCATCCATCCATCAACCAGTCCATCCATCCTTCTGTCTGTCTGTCTGTCTGTTCATCCATCAGCCCCTCTCCCTCCCTCTCCCTCTGTCCATCAATCCATCCATCCAGCAACCACCACATCCATCCTACCATTCATCCATTTAATCATCCGTCCAACATCAGTCAATCAGTCTACCCATGATATATTGTTCTGTCCGTACATCCATCAATCAATCATCCATCCATCCATCTACCTGCTCCTCGTTTCCTCCCTCTGTCCAACCATCTACCAAATCAATCGATCCATCCAACATGTTGAGTACCGACTGTGTATTTTACATTTTTATCCATCAGGTGGAGTAGTTGACCTAGTTCTCTGGTCTAATGTGCTGAACTGCAGCAGAATGTGCTGCCACTGAACAACACAGCATTCTGACTGAAGCTGTTTCATCCTAATGAAGTGGTTTGAAGCCCGCTCCTTCAGGGACCCATCATTTTTTACAGCTGTACACAGGGAAGGCCCACCCCCACAAACCAGCCTCACCCGTCTGTGTGCAGTCAATCTGGGCAGAGGAAATATTCAGCCACCTGGGCTCAGCTCGTTTCAGTTTTATCCGCTCTTTATGCAAACTACTGTAATCAGCATTTTGTCAACATTGCACAGTGGGTCGTTTTTGGCTGGTGCTGAAGGAGAGTCTTCAAAGGATGAGACTGTTGCCTGATTCCAGCCCTGGAAAAGGCTTCCTCACAAACGGAGGAATGCTGCTTTGATTTTTCTTCCTGTGCCTAGATGTCAGGGATCCATGAGTCAAAACGCATCCTTTTCACCCTCTGCTTTTTATCTTGTAATGTTTTTTTGTTTTTTTTTTCCTCTGGCGTCACTTCAGTCAGCAACCAAACTTTGTAAAAAACAACAACTCTTTTCCATCTGTTATTGTTAGTTGTCAATTTTTGGGATTTTACGGCCAATAAATGAATTTTTAGTTGATGGGGGAAAAAAAGTCAGGGTAGAAAACGATTATTTTAAATATAACTTGGAAGATGCCAAAATTCTATATAACAAACACAATTCTTTGGTGTCAAAACTGTGGTTCCAAAACTATGGTACATATAGCATTAATGGTCTGTGCAGGGAAATCTGCACTGCACAATAATGGAGGGATACAAAATGAAGAGTTTTAAAAAAACACTGCAGTCGTGACTTCTTAGAGCAGTGTGGTCAAAAATCTGTTTTTTTTTTAATCTAGAAAAACATTAATCTGAATCATGATAAGAAATAAACCCAGAACCTTGTTCTGGTTCCTCAGTACTGGATATAGCATGACTTTCAGTGTGAATGTGAGTGTTAATGGTTGCTTTTTCTGTCGTCTCATCTATAGACTGCTTGGACTGGAATGACTCCAGTTACCTCTGTGTTTTTAGATGACTAGATAGACTTATCTTCTCACACATTTATTTCTTGGAGACTGTTTTTTCACGCAACCACCTGATAATCCCACATTTCCGGTTCTAACTTTTTATCTTTCACTGGACACAATTATACAGCGATGTCATGACGTCACACGTCCTGTAGGTGGTGTCATGTTGCGCAGCAGTTCAAACAGGAAGCATCGATTTCGCCTTCACTTCCGTAAACTCTCCGAACACATCATGATGCAGACAGGGGTCGATATACGAATGATGTGGAATATACGGCATTACCCAGCGGCATGCAGCGGTTCTCACGTGTGGTCCGATTTACCGAGTCTCCATTTCCAGTCAAAGCACTTGGAGCGCTCTCGAGCAGTGACTTTACTTCGAAATGTAAGTTATCTCTGGTAGAAAACCCGTTGAAAGCACATGACGCAGCGCTTTCACATCAGCGCTCTAATTGGCAATTAATTTCTCTATGGTGCGTGATGTGTCTTACAAATTGCAGTGACCTGCCACATTGCCGAGGTCTGCAAAGAGAAAACTCTCCTAAACTTATACACGCACCCATACTCATGTATATAGGAGTGAAAAGCACAGTAGGGCTGCCGACTAATTGCTGTATGTGATACGGGACGTCGTGCAGCAGCATTAAAATGAGCTCTGCTCTCGGTGCAGCAGTTTAGGGAGACGTGGTGGACTGTGAGACACAGTAGTGGGGCCTCCATTCATCCTGCTCTGTGTAGGTGTAGATTTTAATGATAAGATAATCCTTTATTATTACCACCATTGGGAAATGTGCTGTGTTCCAGCAGCAGCACAGGGGGACGGTAAAAATAGACACTGTGTAAACACACAGTACTAACTAACAGTATTAATGACTAAACACTCCGGAAATAAATAAATAAACAAGTGTAGGCAGTTATTTTGAGAAGCCTTTTTTTAACATTTGAAGCAACCGTGGAGAACCTGTCAAGTCAGGGTTATGGTCACAGGTTGGGACACGTGGCTGCCGTTGACCAGACCTCAGTCAGGCAGCTCTCTCTTATACATGGATAAAATTCCATCCAAAAAGTCCAGGATGACTGATGTGTTATTGAGAATGATCAAATGGTTCGTTACTAGGGACGATCCATTTAGCATAATTGTGTAATACCTGTAAGAATCATTAACTGTTTTACCTCCGAAAACCCAATAATCCAATGCCTTTGTTTGGCTAAATATGCTGGAATCTCTTGTCTAATGCCTGGGTTTGGCTAAATATGCTGGAATCTCTTGTGGGGTACTGAGACGTTTACTGCAGTTTTGGGGGAAAACAGATGCAAATATCAATATCAGTTGATATCGGAGTCGGAAATGAAGTGTTTGGACAATATTGGCATATTGGATATTAGCAAAAAGTTCATCTCGGACATCCATAATCTTTACATTCACTTTTGGGCTGCATAGAGAAAATGGGCTGTGTTCTTGCCTTACAGACTGAAGGTTACAGGTTCAATCCTTAACTCTGTCTGATTTGAGCTCTTCAGTTCTCCCTTTGTGTGTCTGTTCATTTTTCACTCTAAACTGACCATGAGAGTGAAGTACTGGACACCAGTGTCGTGGTGACTTCTGGGATTGTTGGGACAGAGAAAAAGATTTACTGGTAGAAGAATGGATGAATCAGTTATTTAATGAGTGAATCAATGAGTCAGTGAGTGAGTGAAGATTGTACAGACAGCCCCACAGAGTGTCCAATGTACTTAACTTTATCCTTTCATTGGTCAGAACTGGACCAACTTTTACTGTGACTTTTGACGTGTCTGACGTTTTATAACGTGTCTGCTTGTCCCCGGGTCTTCAGTAGAAACTGACGGCTCTTTGGAAACAGCGGACCTGTCCTCAGGTGATTTTCGCAGAGTCTTGGACACACTCTGTACCTGTGTCCTCCTGTTTTAGTGTCTGTGCCCCCAGTCTTTGTTGGACTGTCACTTTAGTTTAGTCTCCTCCTCTCCTCCGTTTCCCTGCCTGCTCTTTTGTTCTGCCTTTGTGTCTTATAATTAGATTTCTTCCTGCTGCGTCTAAAAGTTTTTTTGAGAGAGGGAGTTTTAGTCGATAGTTTTGTTTAAAATCTTGCTTTTGTGGTCTTTACACGCCTGAATTCTCAAGGGGCTGTGGATTTCTTACCGTCGTCTGGACGGAACTGTTTCCGCACAGTTTCACAGCTGTAAGAAACTGAGCTTCATTTTCCAGAAGGAAGCGGCAGAGATCGACACCTCAGCCACAAAAATCTGGCTCATTCTTCTGGCACCTCTTCAAAATGCCGCAGACACAATGCTCCGTGTCTGACTCTTTGTTGTTCTTTGTAATCACAGCAGCCAGTCAGTCTCTCTGAGGTGTTTGGAAATGAATTAGAATGAGAGAACTCTCTGTGATTCCTCTGAAACCAAGGAGCACGCAGCAGTGGGATCTGATTAAAGAACGGAAGCGAGAGAAGAGAGGAATGTGAAAAATGGTTCTTATCATCACTGAACACATAACACAGTGTCAAAGGCTGCACGTCCGAATGAGAGCGATGCCACGGTTATGGAAGAGTGCTTCTCTTTCTGCTTCTCTTTCTGCCTCTCCAAGAAAGTGCAGCTTTGAAAGAAATAAAATGAAAGAAAAAAAAACCAAGAAAAAAGCCCGAGCCTCTGTGAATGGAGTAATATTCTACTTGAACGCAAGCGCCTTAGTTACTACTGATGATGGATTCTTATAGACTTTCTGGGGACTCAGCAGGCTAACAGGCTCATTCCCAATGTTTAATTATTAAAGCCCCAGGGCTCAGGAACATCCACATGTTTTTGCTCTCGTCATATTTTATTTCATAGTAGTCATTGGCAAAGAATTAATTATTTACACAGCCAGCTCCCCAGACGCTTTCCACTGGTTTGTGTTTACAGGCAGCCACGGATGATTGGTTCACCTCCACTTTTACTAATACCACGGGTTTTCCCATGTAAATACATACACAGTACATGCAGTACATACTGTATTGCAGTTTCTGTCTCATCATTACTGTCAATTTTGAGACATTTTATGTCATGGCATACACCTAACGGAACAGTCTCCCTCTCCTCTGACTGTAAACTTTACATGGACAGATTTGGCTCTAATTGTGTTTCTGTTCTTTTTCTCTAATGCAGGTCCACTGACTACGGCTCCACATATGAGCGAATGAATGACAAAGTTGGATCGAAGACTGTCCTGAGTTACCTGTATGTCTGTCCAACGAACAAGCGAAAGGTGAGTCGGTACCACTTTACCACAGGTGGGCAGTGCTGAGAGAAATCTATTATGTGGAGGCGTTGTCTCCAATTCTCTATACAATTTTCATCTGTCTACTGCATTTCCAGAGTAGTATAAACCCTCAGTACAATTACAGCTATAATATTCTGTTATGATATTCTGTTTCTGTTCAAGGATTATTGTAGCTAACGTTAGCTCTGGTGTCTGTACCAGGA